AGTGACACGAGAACTCGTCATGCAGCCTGCCCGGTTCTGCTGGGAGTGAAATGGGTACCGATTTTTTCCATTCCGTGGTATCCAGTTCTTCGAAGTGGTATGTTGTTAAGGTTACGAACAAATGGATTCACGAGCGAGGAAATGAATTCCGTCGTCCTTGTGGCTTGAGAATGTCGGATGGAGAACGGTTAGATGAGCATTTTTTCGCTCCCTGCGGTTTTTAATACTCATAACTTCTTTCAGATTCATCGGCGACCTTGGTTTCGGACCAGAGCCCAGGAACGCCCCGAATCTCAGTCCAGTCTTGTCCAAGAACATCTACGATACTATTAAGTAATCAAAATTATGTATTTGTTGATGATTTTAGTTTGGTTCGTTATTTCTTTCAAGTTTTTGGTACTATCGGGTCTTGGGATCACGCACGTTCATATTTAATGCCTTGGCGAACTGTTTTTGTGCTGTGTCAAACGAGTTTTCCGTTTCTTTTCGAATTTCAATGTGTAACTATTTTCGTTCCCAGTACAGTTATGAGTCAATCCTAACAGCTGCACAACATACGCTGCCAATACCCGGAATACTCTGACACCAACGACCTTCTCCGGTGTTTTTATTTATTCTCTCACTTCGCCCCTGTTTTCGAATGTTCAAGCTCACTCTCCCTTAATATTTGCCTTTCAAATGACGAATAATATGTTGTTGTCCAATGCTTTGTAGTTTTTTTGAAAGCTGCTGATCGCCTTATAGGCACACTCCACGATCATAGTAGGTAAGATGAGAGTCAGATCTATCATTGCGTACAGCTGGCTACCTTGTGATCTTGTCGTTTGGGCGAGAGCAGGCATGGAGTAAGGTTCTTATCACCAAAGACCCAGTGAACAATTTGCATTTGACTATTTTAACGAGAAGTAAAAAGGTACAGAAGTTTCATGCATCCGTGGAGAGAAGGATCATCAACTCGGAAAGCAAGTATTCATTCCATCAGGTTGGGTGAAAAGTTTTGATCGGTTTTTCATGTTGATTTTAAAAACTCTTCCTCCCATCGAAAAAGCATTTCAATCAGTAATAGAGTCTCCATCGTGGTCCACGAAATATGTTCGACGATCCGGCAGTTTCCCGATTCTAGAAGCCCGAAACTGGGGTGTCGCGATTCCAAAGAGCTAGGATCTCAGTTCTGGATTCCGAGCAATCGTCAAATTTTCTATCGTGAAGATGATATTTCAGAGTAAGAAACAGATGGTACTCGGAAGGAGCAAGATCTGGCGATAAGAAGGATGGGGCAGCACTTCCCATCCAAGATCGGCAATTTTCTTACGAGACAGTTTCGCAGTAGGCAGTCGAGCGTTGTCGTGAAGAAGGCCAACATTGTCTCGTTGCGACGCTTCCTTCAAATAAAGTCGACCAAACTCTGTGACTGTAAATCTCGTCGGTCACGGTGGAGCCCTCACGGAGTTGGTCAAAGTAAGGCATTTCCTGCGAATTCCATCCACAACACACAAAACATTACTCGGATTCATCATTTCTCTGCTGTCTTGAAGGCGGTTCGACACTAGGCACCCATGGGTTGAGATACGGTGTTCCTTTTATGTATACCACAGATATCCGCGACAGCCGTCTATAGATTATGCCTTTACAGGAATTTGTAATAGACAATAGCTGTCAGACAGCTTTTGTCGGCAGTTGAAGGTTGCAATCATAATTGCGAAGCACTAACAAGGGCATGCTTATATGTATATCTTCTTAGAAAACAGGTTTGGGAAAGGTCTACGTAATCTAATACGCCTCTTAAGAGCGGCTCTACGAAAGAATCTAAGAAGGGATGAAGAGTCGATGAAAATATTTTACTCAGCTTAAGCTCCTGGGATGACGTTGAGAAAAAACTTTCACTCTTCTTTCTGTCAATGGAACTCATGTCTTAGAAGGTCGAAACAAAGCTGAGCCGCCAATGACATTCACTTTTCAAGAGTATGTTTACTCCACTGATAAGGCACGATGTGCAATGTCATTTGAACAGGGTTCCCAACTATGGATGACTAGGGGTGGTTCCACAGTGATGAAATTTTCTATTACTCCTTGACTGGCTACAATCAAGTTCTCTCACACCTGATTTTATACCGATCCCATCTACTGGAAAAGTTCTTGTCATTTAAGTGCTCCTTCGGAGCATATTTTCAACCTGAGCTTTCTGAATGCGGAAATAGACATCGATGATTGCAATCCTTCATAACACCGATCCCATGATTACGGAATTAGGGTTTCCTGATGTTTTTTTGCTGAAATCTTACTTATTATTCAGTCGCTTCATAGAAAATTAGGTGTATTAACTATAATTCGTTGCGGTGCGTGTTGTTGCACGAGGCATTGTGTCACACCCTTTGCCTACATGAGACAATGCGTTGTGCGGTGGAAGCCTATTTTCTAAATAGTCCCCGCCTAGAGAAGTCGAATGCCTCCACTCTCGTCTACTTCGCTAGTTCTAATTTGGTGAGTACATGTGTTTATACATTAGAATATGGCCTACTTGTTAGCAAGCTTTGTTTATTGATGTTTAAGCAAACACTGACACTGAAAAACATGGCTATTGTTCATTGAGCGGTTCCATATGATTGACACGACACAAGCTGAGGAATGTGATTGAATAATGGGGTTGCTCATTAAAGCGAAGTATGATCTATCTTCGTGCTTGTGCGCAGAGACTACAACATCGGAAACATGAAACGACCATGATTCGACACAGGGTTATCCTTAAGCCGATTTTATGTTCCATGCACCCTTTTTAGTGCGGATTGAATTTTGTTTGCAATACAATTTGTGATCTTGGAAACAGTGCGCAGATCACGACATCGACCACAGAGAACGATCAC